AAGAGAGATGAGTTTAGAGATTCGTTGGTACACGGACCTGTTTGTCGTAGAGTCGGAAAGCTTCACGAAGTTCTTCTTCCAATCCCTCGTTATCTTCACTGTTCACAACGAAATTGGCAACCATAGCGGCGAATTCTTCGAATTCGATTTCACCCGAGCCTGTAATGGTCCTTTTGGAATCATGAATATCCTGGGTAATTCTACGGTTCAGTCGGTTTCGGGACAGAGATCGTTCCAATACCAGATTTCCGAGAAGTTCGGAGAGGTTCTGGAAACCTACGGCTTACGGTTCATGTTGGAGGTCAAACGGGATTTCATGACCCATCATTTGAGTTAGCCAAATTATCCTACCATCAGTATCGAATTCCTTGATGAGCTGCTTCAGATCACGTTCTTCGAAAGCTTGTCCCATTGTTCGCAGAATTTGTCCGACCTGTCAATCGATATCTATTTTTTCTGTTGCATCAGAGGACAAAATCATTTCGCTGACTCACCTGAGTGGCTCTGATGTATCCTTTGTTTTCTTTATCGAACATATTGAAGTATTTGCGGAACTCTTCAACGAATAACGGTCATGTTAGTAAGGTGAAAACAAAAGAAGTTGGAAGGATGAATAGGAAATGAGAAAAGGCAAATCCTTACGCTCAATCTGTTCGGCGGTGAGTTGTTCAAGGGCATCGGCGACGGTGTCTCCCTGAAAGTAATTCCTTGGCTAGCATATCTGTTGACAAAGGGTCTAAAACAGTCAGAATAGTCAAAATGAGGACCACAGGTGGTAAGCAATCGCAGGGCTGCACTGGCAGCTTACGAATTACCAACTCTTTTTTATCAAAATCTTTCAAGTCAACCGGAGATAGGTTACTAACCTGTTCGCTTACCATGAAAGTGTCCAATTTAAAGTATTGGAAGGTAACGAAGTACACCCATGGAAAAGGGTCGATCATCTTAAGGCTTGTAGGTAAGTAAGGGGCCTCCCAGTACGTTTGCTGATGCGGACGTAAGTCGAGTTTGTGGCGCATCCCATCGTTGGAAGTAGGGAATGCTTTCATCTGGGATGAAGATTGTCCGCCACAAGCATTTCCGATGCTGACAGCTTTCAAATGCCTCCACAGCTGTGGATGGAAATCGAATTCATGGCTCCTCCCGAAGATTGGAAGATGGAACCTATTGTGAACAAGGGGTGGTCGTCACTATCGCTTACGATACTGCTGAAGCTTCAAATGTCTACAGTTATGAGGATGGAAAATGAGTTAGTGGCGCATCACTGAAGCTGGAGGAAGGGATATGTCAGTAATGGATGGAGGCTGTACGTCAAAGCATTGTGGATACCGAGAAGCTGTCAAATGCCTTCTCCACTATGGATAGGAATCGAATTTATGGCGCAGTTTAAGGGTTTACATTGCTGAAATATTTTTATAAAACATGTATCTCTTTCGAAAAAGCGATAAACTCGGAAAAGGCATGCATCAGATCAGGGAACTGAGGATGGGCAGGCATCCCTGTTCTCTCGTTGGTGAGGAGGTGATGGGTAAAGTGATTAAATACTCGGTTCGTGGCAGGTAGTTATTAAATATCACCTTTCATAGTCGATTTCTACCAAAACTTACCTCATTCGCCATTGTCTATCGGTTCGGAAGCTTTCCTGGGCAATACTTCAGTAAAATTAATTAATCTAAAGCGCAGATGAACTTGGTCAGGTACGGTAAAGGGTCTTCCAAGCAGCAAGACAGCCGTCGACTTACTGAGTGAACCAGTAATAATGATCTATTAACCTACCATGATGAATCGAAGTGGATTTGCTGTGTGTTGACTGTAAAGCAAGCAATGTGGAGACTGTTCGAGCACCTCCTCAACGACGACGGGCGACGATGGCGGGGGACACCGTTTACCTTTACACTCGTGACAGAGCGCTGAGCATACCCCGCGATCGCGAGATATCCAATACGAATTTCCGGAATCCCTAAAGTTTGAAGCTCGACAGGTACCGAGTCAGTGAGCCTCAAGAGCCATCCTCGAGTTTCCGTTCAGTTTCTTAGTAGGTCAGGCGAAAAATATCCATCGGAGTTTTCTGGCAGAAAGTTCCGTCCAAAAATACTACCGTAGTTTCGTAGTCTTTATACTTCCAGAGCGAGACAGCCCTTGGATAGTAATTGACTGGAATATCGTTTGCATCCAGAAAGATCGCTAATGACATACACTCCATTTAAAACCGGGAGCGTTTTTGTTACATGACCCGGGGGAAAGACACTGACATGGGAGGAGACCTAAACAGTATCATTTCATCTTGGAAAGGGAAGGACAGGGAGGAAGGAATTGCCGGTCATTCCACCTGGAAGAGATTCAGGATTCAGCCAGTGCTGAATGTCTCGACAACGAGGGACTGACCGAAGTACGAAGATCACTTATCGTACTCTATACCGTATCCGATGTCTATACACCCTTTTGGCGAATGGTCGGTCCACAAATCACTTGGCCATTACGGTATACTTCTGTTGCACCGTATACGTAAAGTACCTGTTTATCTACGTATTTTCTGCTGTTCCA